GGTCTGGTAGTTCAGGTCCCCATGTGTTGAATCTGAGGCCTTCTTTTTGCAGGGGATAGTGAGCGTATAAACATGCGTGAGGAAATGATGCTAGAGTAATAACTTCTCTATTTGATCATTTTTAATAAAAATATTGGCTTTTTCAAGGGTAACATCAACGTAGATCACACACACACACACACACTGGGCCTGTGTGGTATAATTCACAGGGCTCTACTCAACGCGTCTGGTACGAGCGACGTGGGCTTTGTGGCTGTCAGAATTTCAGTTTGATGGCATTTGCCACTTCTTCAACACAGCTACTAAGCTGTAGGTTGGCAAAATCGAAATTCACCTCTTCCCTGCTAATCCTATCTCATTTTGCTGTTGATTTTTTTTTGAGGGTTGTTATGGGGTGCAAGTTCATGCAAATCAACCTACCTCTGCAATGGCAGTTGATTTGTTCAGTGGTAAAATTGTCCATTTTCCACACTGACAATTACGCGATCACTGCGGGACCGTCATCTGCGTGTCAACTTTGGCTTTGCATTTGGGGAAGCCCTTGTCGGGTGAAACTTAGCGGATACAGTATTTATCAACTTAAACTCCTTTACAGCTCGACACTACCAGCGCCTCAATCGCTTGGAAGAGCAAATGGCTGTCATTGATTACCTTTTCGATGAGTCTCGTCGCAACCTGATCATGGAGCGGACCAAGTCCTTGCAAAGCGATCCTATCACGACGTCCAGAGAGCCAGTAGATGCGGTGTAAGTTTAAATTTGGTGTAGCTTTCAGGCATGTTATTGATAGGCAGTTGTTTGATGTCCTTTGTCTTGAGGTGTTGTCTTAAACAATTAAGACTAATGGATTGTAGTAGTCGCCTGTTCTCCTTGTCAGTTGCAGGACTGAGCGTTCGCCTATTTGTCTACTGTTTGAACAGTAGATCTATACGCGTTGACTCTTTATTTCTTTGCTTACATTTTTGCCTACTTGTTTGACCCATCACTTTAAATCGCCTTTCTGCCTTGTTTGTAGAATGGAAGTAGATGATTCGAAATCTTCTGTATAAAACTGTACATTGCTGCTAAATAAAGTGATGAATTTATAATGCCTGCACTTTAGGCTTTACATACTTAAGTTTGCGATTTAATTCGATCAAAAAGCTTTTGGACTGTTCAGTGGGAAGACATAGAGTTCGTGTCACTGTCAGTACAGCTGCCTATCGGCACAGAACTCGGAAGCGTCATTTATGGTGGAACAGTTGGCATCACTGGAGGCCGAGGATCAGAACCTAGTCAACGATGGGATCACATTTCTTCCCAGTCTGAGTACCGATTTGGGTGTACAAATCGCACATTGCAAATCACATATTTACAATAGTCATAAAAATATTGTAGCCTGAAAGATAAGAATTTTGAGCAAGGTTCAAGTGGAAATGTCGTCAGTAGGAAGATGGAAGGTAATGAAGGAAGTAGGGATTAAAATCAAAAGTTGGCAATAGTGACTGTACAAGGATGGCGCTGTTGGCGATTCTCTCATTTGTTGGCAAAGGTGTGAGGGTTATCGCGCCAGAAGGAGAAATCAGAATACTCCATACTGCCCAACAATATCTGATGGTGGGGTGGGAACACCAAATCAATCATCTCGCAAAGAGTGGTGTAACCAGTAGACATTTTGATACCAGTAGGAGTTTCGATAATTCCCTCAGGATTCACAATAAAGATGTGTGAGTCTGGAATCCCAATCGTTCGGTAGGTCTCCACATCACTGGTGCGGTTTCCAAAACCCGCGTAGAAGGGGCAAGGCGCCTTGGGGTTGTGGAGACGGAACAACTCGCCCAGTCGCTTTAGATTGGCTATTTTTAGGACTTGGGGACGTTTCTGTATGATTTCCCTGTGATGAAGAGGTGGGTCAATTTATGATGGCTTGCTTCCAGTTTTTGGTTCGTTTGAAAGGTACCAATGTTAACTTTCGTTTTGCGGAATTCCGTAGTTTGGCCTTAACACATGGCAAGGAGAGGACAGATTGTCGGACAACGAACAACGCTTAGGAGTGGTGAAGCTGCTTTTGTGCTATTTTTGCGACTCTTATGACATCTACGAAGTCAGTAGTTTGATGAAAGGCCTTTCACGGCGCAGTAGGAGTAATCGTGTGAAAGACTTGGAAAATTGAATTGCGTGGTGATTACTACTGACAAGTTAATAGTAATACCAGTGTGATTATTATCTAGTAGGGTGACGTACATTTGAATGGTGGTGATAAGCGAATTT